CTTTTTTATTTAACCTAACATAATTTACATAAATGTAAATTTGAGAAGAGTCAGTTATGTGACCAAGCAATGCAATGTGTGAAATTCATTACATGATGCTCAATAAAGTTTTATTCCATTAAATATAAGTACAGAGGAAAATTAATATCATCCCAAACTTCAGCACGTAGTGTGTCCACTGGTGCTCCCGCTGAGACATCAGTAGCCTTTAGCTCTCACAAAAACATGGAGACATAGAGTCCAGGCAGAAGACATGTCAGAAGACAGACATCTTCATTACAGAAGAGAAGAAAGCACTTGTCTTTCAAAGCAAGCGCTGGATTTTACAGGCCAACAATGGAAAGACGGGACCATGTCATCTTTGGTTTCCAAAAAAGCTAGTTGTCAGAATTTAAGTGCATACGTTCATAAGTGCAAGAACAGACAACAGAGAGCTAAAATCATGATGATACTCACGACTCTCTAACATACGGTAATTCAAAAAAAAATAAATTAATCGAAATTCATTCATGTTTCATCAAAACAAAGAGGTTTAAAATAAACAAAACCTGTTTATAAAATCCTGTTTGCAAAACAGACCTAACAGAAACCAACTGCTTGACCTGTGCAGTGACACATAAATGAACTGTGGTTTATGTGTGTGAGTGTAGGGGCTGCTGTAGAACCAAAGTAACGTATCATGTGATGTAATTTTTTGTGCTACCCTAATAGCCTGCATTTCAGAGTACAAACAGAAAGAATGATCAACATTCTATGAGATTCATCTCACTGAAGGTTCGGCCCTAAACTTGGAGCTGAGAATCAATGTTCTATTCAGGTGACACTTAACGGTCACCACAAGGGAGAGTCATGCATAACAAACATACACACACATACATACATACATACACACACACACACACACACACACACACACACACACACACACACAATCAGTCCCACCACACCATACACCACAAGTAGGTTTTTTGTAAACTTCTTTAATACAATTGTAATCATATATTGGCAATTAATTATATAATTACATAATGATTTACATTCACATTCAATTCACATTCTGTATAGAGTGGTTTAAGTATGGTCTTATGATATTTTTCTTGTTTGTTTGAACAACAGAAAATAAAAAAACATTTATAGGATGTTTTGTCTTCCGTAAGTGAGAATGAATTCATGTAAAAAATTCAGTTTCGAAGGTTCATCTACTCTTGTCTTCCTCATCTGTCTTAGAGGTTTTTTGTCGAGACACATCTGTCTGATTGCACAAGGCAGTGGATTCAACATCTAAAATTAGCAGTGAGTGTTTTTAAGCAGTTCTCACGGATCCTCCCTCAATATCTAGGTGTTACTTCAGACTCTACTGCAGTGGTAAGCACTTGAATGTGCACTCTAGTGTGCGTTTCAGCAGACAGGTGGGCCAAAGGCAGTTTTAGCAACTCCTTCCTCCCTCTTAGTCTGCCCTGGTCACCCTGACAACCTCCGACAGCTTCCTGTCAGACTGTCAACACGTGAGGTGGCTGGAGCGTCCTGAGAGGAACTTCATCACGCTGTTCTTTTTTTGGGAACCAACTTCTGTCAGAGACTGGAAATGACTACAGGGATATTCCTTGTGAGCACTACATAATTAAATGAATTTAAAACAAGCTTCCCCTTATACTAAATGTATGTGATGAGCTACGATATGCCTGTAAAGGTAACGTAGCTAATAATGGAAGCCACAGCCCCACTGACCAGCATTGTGCAAACCACTGGCCTAAATCATCATATATTTATTTCAAGCCATGTCAAATTAATATAAAATAGGCTTGACTGTGTGGTTGTTTATGTGATATTTTAGGATACTGATGATATTGATAATAACTCATACTTTTTTTTATTCATGTAACCATTTTAAGAATTACAAAAACCAGTTATTGCCTTTTTTACTTTCAAGAAAACATATAAATACAGTATGAAGCGCCTGAACAGAGCATGCCTGATTCTGGATCAGCACCCTAAATGGTCATTAGAGTCTTAAGTTTCATTGGTTTGCTATCCACTGATGTGATTTTACAGTGATTTGTTTTCTTTTGTACTATATTTATAGGTTTCGCAAATAACAGAAAAATGCCGCAGACTAAAAGAGCCATGTGTTGCATTTCTAACATGCTTATTTAAAGGTCTGTTTCCTGGACACATATTTTAGTCTTGGACTGAATCAGACTGTCAGTGTAGAACCTCCAGGCTTAATCTGCGTCCAGTTTACTGACCCTCACAGTCTGCTCTTTAATGACTGCTCCACTCTGATTGGATAATCCCTCAGAGACTTTGTGTACTCTTTTCAGGTTCACATGCTCGGTTCTCTCGCTGTCTCCTCGGGCGCCGAGAAACTTGTGGAGACGCACGGTAAATGTCATATACACACACACACACACACACACACACACACACACACACACACACACACAAACCAACACACACAGGCACACATACACACGCATGTTAGGACGTGGGGATGTGGCAGGAACTTGTTCACCCCTAAAAGCTGCTGTTGGCGAGCTGTCGCCCTCGTCAGTACACAGGCCGCTGATGGAAAGTGAAGGGTCGGCTCCTCTCAAATTAGGATCAACAGCTGCACACCATTGGTTGAGACATTTAACTCCTTCGTATAATGATCCTGTGGCTGCATGTTTGATAAATGTTTTCATCTTGAATCCTCACAAAATGTACAGTATCTAAACTTAGACATATTACGTCTTCTTACCTTTAGTAAAAATATGTTACATATTCATTTTGTTAAAGTAACATCCGCCTAGCACTTTCGTGTAATTAGTTGGCCATGGTTATGTACCTGATTTATATCAGATTAACTTGTGTGTGTGTGTGTGTGTGTGTGTGTGTGTGTGTGTGTGTGTGTGTGTGTAGCGTTAGTCTCACAAAGGCACTATAAATACTTGACACCCCCAAAAATACATATTCATAAGTTCAGATCTCCAGACAAGTAATACGTAATAAGTACAGTTTTCTATGTTAAGGCAGTGACACTGTAATTATAGCAGGTGGAGCATATGAGCGGTGCGGAGTGGGAGTGGAGGGGTGTGGCATAACATTGTGATGTCTGTTAGCCATCGTCCATTCGCATAACCCTTTAACATGTGTATATACATTTTTTTTCAGGTGCACTGTCATGCTGTAAGTCTCCAGTTCAACCATACACCACGTTCCAATGGATTCAGATCCGCTGACTGGGAAGGCCACTGAAGAACACTGAACTCATTATCATGTATATGAAACCAGCTTGAGATAACTTTTGCTTTGTGACATAGTGCATTATCATGCTGGAGGTAGCCATTAGAAGATAGGTAAACTGTGGCAATGAAGGGATGCAGCAACAGTACTCAAATAAGATGTGGCATTCAAGAGATGACTGACTGGTATTAAAGTGTGCCAAGAAAACATTCCCCACACATTTACACCACCTCCACCAGCCTGGACTGTGGACCCAAGGGAGGTTGGGTTCATGGATTCATGTTGTTGCCAGCAAATTCTGATCTTAAAAATGATGGTTCCTCAAGCATTCTCTAGTAAAGAAAACTGTTCTATATAGAACCATGAACACTCAAAGAATGTTTTGCATGATTAAAGGGTTCTTTGCATCATGGAAGGGTTCTTCAGATTGATGAAGAATGTGTTGAATACGGCTCTAAATAGTACAAAAAAAGGTTCTTCCATTATTACAAGCTTGACATCATAACAATACAAGAACCCTTTTTGGTGCTATATAGAACCATTTTCAAAAAGGTTCTTTAGATTGATGGAAAATGTGAAGACTGTGCTATAGATGGTTCTATACAGAGCCTTTTTAAAGGGAGTTCTATATAGTACCCAAAAGGGTTCTTCTATTGTTACAAGAATGACGTAACAATAGAGGAACCGTTTTGGTGCTATTTTGAACCGTTTTCAAAAGGTTCCATATAGAAACATCTACAGCACATTCTCCATCAATCTGAAGAACCCTTATAGGTGGGGCTGTGTGCTTCAGCAGAATTCGAGATTCATCAGACCAGGCTATATTCTTCTAGTCTTCAGCTGTCCAGTTTTGATGGGCCTGTGCCCACTGCAGTCTCAGCTGTTTGTTCTTGGCTGACAGAAGTGGAACCTGATGTGGTCTTCTGATTTTGTAGCTCATCCACCTCAAGGTTCAACGTGTTGTGCATTCTGAAATGCTTTTCTGCTTAACACCACTGTACAAAGTGATTATCTGAGTTACAGTTTTTCATTTTCCATTTACCTTTCTCATGAACAAGGTGTTTCCATCCACAGAAACTCCACTCACTGTTTTTCTTTACTGTACCATTCTGAGAAATACTAAAACCAGCCCGTCTGGCACCAATAATCATGCCATGGCCAAAATCACTGAGATCACATTTTCCCTCATTCTGATGGTTGATGTGAACATTACCTCAAGATGCTGGCCTGTATCTGCATGATTTTATACACTGCATTGCCGTACACTGGTGTTCCTAATAAAGTGCTCAGTGAGTGTGTATATGTATGTATGTGTATGTGTATATGTAAATGCTTGTGTATGTGTTTATGTGTCTGTGTACGCTCACTGAGCACTTTATTAGGAGCATCTATACAAATAGAAATAATAAAAATATGCAAAAAAATATTTGCATTGTTTAAGTGAGTTACTGTTCTGTAGTTCAGCTGGTGAGCATGTGTCTAGTGAACTGGTATATGTGTAGTGATTTTTCCACCTGGGCCTCATGCACAGGGTAAACAAACAGGTGCGTGTGGGGCTGTGCAGCAGAACAAGCTGAGATATATGGGGGCTCAGGTGTGAGAACTCGCTCTCTCACTTACAAACACACATCCCACTCAGACGGTGATCACACATGGCCCTGTACCATCTGACCCTTTGTGTCTGGAGTGAACAGAAGGCAGCACCAGCTCTACATTTAGCACGTCACCAGGGTGTAGCTATCTAGTCACAAAGCCCAAAACTACAGCTGCCTCACCTCTCCCTGTTGAACTTGAGCGAGTGCAGCACGGCCGGTCTCTTCTGACGCAGGTTCCATAGGTGAATGCTATCGTCGGCTAGAGCACTCACTAGCGCCCCCTGTGGAGCAAAGAGAGAGAGTCATAGAGAAAGAGAGTAAATTACCATTAAAAAACAGCCTTAGACTTTCTTGAAAGAAAGAATTGATTAAATCAATAATTCAAATATATCAGTGGGTATACACAAAAACATCTTTAGGAGTCGGTATGCAGAAACAGCTCAGTAGAAATAGGTCATTATTGTCAACGATGTATGATACACTGTTATTTAAATAAATGGACAAAACTAAAGACAAAATTTAAACTGCCAGTATTGTTTCAGCTTTGCGATGGACTTTTGTCCACGGTGTAAATCTGATCACTCGAACACGTAATCTTGATATCAGTGAATAATGTCATCCACTACAGCACTCACTAGCACCCTCTGTGGAACTGCCAGATAGAGCGAGACAGAGGGAAAACGGCCATCACCACAAAGCAGCCTTTAACTTCTTCTCAAACACATACCTGAACCCAAAAGTGCCACACTGAGGAGGCTGCAGCTCCATAAGTAGCCTCCTCATTATAATGAGTTTCTGTCGGGTTCGAAAATTCTAGAAGTAGTCGTGGGTGGTGGAAGTATGTGTGTGTGAGAGTGAAAGAATTGGAGTGAGAAAGAGAGACATGAAGGAAGGGGAGCATGAGTGTGCGTGGGTGAGAGACAGAGAGACAGAGAGAGAGAGAGAGAGAGAGAGAGAGAGAGAGAGAGAGAGAGACAGAGAGAGAGAGAGAGAGAGAGAGAGAGAGAGAGAGAGAGAGAAAGACAGAGACAGAGACAGATATAGAGATACAGAGAGAGACAGAGAGAGAGAAAGACAGAGGAGGTAAAGACTTGGGGGCGAAGAGAATGAAAGAGTGGGGAGCAGAATGCAAGGCTGAACTATTCCTTTTTTCTCCCTTGGCATTGCTATATACCAACCAAACAAATGCAAAGACAGAGAGAGGCATAGAGAAACAGAGGGAGAGAGGGAGCCTTTCTCATGGTAACAGGAGCTGAATTTAAAGCAGATCAAGACGTTTTCTCCCAGGTGATGATGATTCACAGGCTATGTGTGTGTTTGTATGTTTGTGCATGTGTGTGTGTGTGTGTGTGGTGGAGACAGAGGCGGTGAGAGACCTCATGCCTTCTCCTGTAGGCTCTACTTTGTGTGCTGAGTCACACACACATACATACAGGCACACAAACCTATGTACAAGAAGGGAGGTATCCTAACATAAATGCATACTTGGTAACAATCATGTTTTTTTCACTGCATGAAAATTAGACAAACTATATAATAAATGACTTATGAGCCTTAGTGCAACATTAGTGCAACATTTTTTCACGACTAAGAGCCCTTCTGTTCTCATACAGATTTTCCCCCACTCAGCCACAGTCCAGTGTTCCCCATTTAGCCCATTACTGTGCTATAACTCCACCTACAGAAAGAGGGCGAAGCTAGCCATCAGTTATCTTTTTTAGTGTTACCCTATACTATACCACAGAGCATGTAACAGGAGGATCATCTGCTTAACACTGGCTATGTAACTTGTCAGTTACATAGTTCAAAATCCTGGCTGTTTCAGATCATGATTTTTATTATTTTAATAGATATGCAGGGGGTAATTGCTAAAGCTGATTTAGGAATCTGGAAACCTCTCTGGTGAAAATGTTTAACTGCATGCAACATGTGGAAGGACCTTTTGTAACGGATGTGCTTCAGACCCCTTCGCCGAGTGGATGAATCTGATCGTGAGAGTGCTAAAAGAGTATTCAAAGAGATGTAATTATAATTACTTATAAGCAATTATACAGACTTATGCCAGGCATCATTCCAATTTAATCTTTGTGAAATACATTTCCCTATCTAATGCGATAAACCACAGTGATAGATAATTTCTAAACAGTCACACAATCTCAGTTCTACCCATTTTCACAATCACCTAAGAACATATTCCTCCTGCTTTTTCATTATGTTGTAACTTTGTTGCTAAATTTGTTTATGTCTCAACCTTTAAATAGTCCTTATTATTTGCTGTTATTTATCCTGTTAATTACAAAGTATTTCCACAGTATCATGCCCCACAGTTATCTAGCTGGGCCTGCATAGCCAGATAAAGTTGTCAATTAAAGTAGGCCTATACCATGTAAATGAGTTACATACTATACCATGTCAACTGCCATTGAACACTTGGTTCTGAAGAGCTGCACAGTGATAAAGCAATTCACAAGTTTTCTGGATAAACTGTTCTGTCTCTACTACGTCTCTTAAAACAGCAGGCAGCTGGGTGGATCATTGTTTTGAACAGTTCATTTTACCAGTTTAAATACTTTAGTATGCCTTTCAGACAGGGAAGAGTCCATTCTAATCTAAGAAAATATTTAGATATAATTTGATGCCAAAACTGACAAACAGGGAATACTAAAACAGCCAAGTACATTAATTGACTTAATTAAGCCACCAAGACAGAAAGAGATAATAGCTTTTTCAAGTCTGAGAATTCTATATAATACAGACTAAAATAAAAAAATCCAAAAAAAGAAACAAACAAAAAACAGCTGATTTAGTAAAAAAAAAAAAAAAATCACTATCAGTGCACGCATCTTTCCTGAGTTGAAGTGAACATGTTAAAGCCCTGTCACACCAAGCCGATTTTCGGACATCAGGCGTCGTCAGGCCATTGGTGAGCGTTGGGGGCCAACCTTCACCCATATTTTGTTTAGTTTGTCCCACACCATTGATCTAGCTGCTTTTTGTCAGCTGTGTTTTGGCCGACAGAGCATGTTGAATTGGCAATCTCAAGAAGACACACATCGAAATAGCCTGATTTTTCAACATGAGTGCAAGTACCAAGTTTTATCATTACTGATGGGCATTCTGACTGCTTTTTTTGACTGAGCTGTATCATCTTCTCAATGAGGAAATACTGTTATGAATAAACACAGACACACATGGTGCTGTGATGATACACTTATGTTAAATAAAGCATTTCATTTACATTTTTTGCTTTTGATCACGTAATTATACCAACCACGCATGTTGTTTCACTGTTTAAAGTATGCACATTCGCTTTTAAGTAGCATTTTTACTCACACAGTGTCAAGCTAACTGTGCTTCACTTTCATACACTAGGTTTGAAGCTTTTAAGACATTCAAACAATTTATTATTTAATTTGTTTGTTGCACTTAATAGTTTGACAGACTGCCAGTTCTTGCTATAGAGAGGCACACAAAATGTGTGCATGTTGGCCATCAGCTGTAGTCTTTGCAGTGTGTTCACAGAAGACGAGAGACCTCAGTTGGTGCTAATTCTTCCTCATCTGCTTGGTATGTCTGACAGGCTTGTGATATCGAGTGCGACATACCATTGTCTGATCATACCCCCTATCCATCACTGTTTGATGATACTATCGTTGGGAAGATGCAGTGTGGAGGCAAGTGGCTAAAAAAAAAAAAGCTTTCTCTAACCACCAGCACACTATCTGAGCACATATGTAGTGAGTGTAGAAAAATATTGGTTTGCTGCATGCTTTCTAGTCAGAAAGTTTGCTTTCTGTCAGAAGCAAGCTCTGTTCTTGTTATAGTTTGGCTGTTCTTGCTCTAGGTTTAGTAAATTGCAAGCTTACATCCTATGAATCTTCTTGTTAAAAGAATAAAACAGCTAAATCTTAACCATGTGAAGTATCCTAAAGTCTACTGTTACTGTAGCTATGTATTGTTTAATAACTGATGTAATCATAACGTAAAAATCTTTTAAGCCCTCATTTATGTTTTGTGAGGGAAACCATTCCATGCATGGACGGCTGCTGGGCAGCTCCATCAAATTAACAGGCACAAAAATGAGTTGGAAAAATCTACCTTGCCCTGCTAGAGAATGTTCTAAACATATCAAGACTGATTCAGGCATGGTCTAATGTTACACATTAAAAGAAACTATACTGACTCTGTAGATACCTAACATTTACAGACATCTCTGTTCTTATACAGCCCCAACTATACATAGGTCCAGAGTTCAGCACTGCATTGTCAGAAACAGCACTGTAGCTGGTTGAGACACTCGGGAAGCTCTGATTTCTTGTAAAGTGCTGTGTCACCACTGATAATAAAGAAAAAAAAGTCTACCCTACTGTGTTTTTGGACACTGTTGTGTTGTTGGTTTGATTTTGCTCAGTAACATTTTTCAGTAATATGCTCCATCTTCACCAACTAGTGGTTGATTTGGACCTTTAAATAAAGAGACAAGATCACAACTTTGCTTCTTTGCAGTGTGCTGTTCTATGCTGTCTGTGCTATAGGTCTAAGTGTGTGTGTGTGTGTGTGTGTGTGTGTGTGTGTGTGTGTGTGAGAGAGAGAAAGAGAGAAATCTACCCATTCAATCGCACAAAAACGGATATAGGCCCTTGTATCATCTGTTATGATAATGATATAAATAACCTGAGATCTTGAGAAAACAACTGAAAATCACTCGTTATCACAGAAAAACAGTTGAAAAAAAACACGCTAATTCATGGCCCTTTAGGGCTTCCATATTTAATGACTGATGTGGGACTGAGAAACAGGGAGGAGATGGGGCAGTTTTGGGGACTGCAAAACTTCATCACAGGAACAGAAGGTAAGGATGTTAGACTGGAAAAAGGTGGGGTTTCAGGCACCCCCCCCCCCAAACACCAGTTATTACATAACTACATTTAGTATGGCATGCAAACCAAGAAATTTCACTAGCTGGCAGCCATAATGACTGCAAAAGGCTGACCTGCTAATTTGGTCAACTCAATTTGGGTATTTAGCTAGAAAAGACAATTACCTTTCTCAGCCATTTCAGCTTTCTTAGTGATTTTATCAACAGTTGTAGGTTAACACTGACTCACCACTGGTCAAATTACAGATTTTTCAAGCTTTGAAATGAAATGAAGTAAACAAAACAACTCCAGCAAACTCTTAAAAATATTTTTTTTTTTCTGAAAATGTTAATGCACTGTTACTTTATATTTCATTAACTTAAAAAACATTATAATGAAATAATAATTGTGGCATGTGCAAAAGATTGGACAACTTTTTAAGTCAAACTCATAAATCAGGAAACCCCCCATTTGCTTCCAGAATTAGCTGATATTCAGTGGAATTCATTCTTCCGTCTACCTATGCAACGCAAGCAAAACATAACAGATCCTCCCACTATACTTAAAGTTGGCAAGGTGTTTTTTTTCCATCAAATGCTGCTTCTTTTTTTCTCCAAACATAACTCTGGTGATTGTAGCCAAAGAGTTCCATTTTTACTTCATCAGTCCACAGCACTTCTTTCCGCAAAATTCCTCTGGCTTATCTAGATGTTGTTTTGCATAATCCAAACATAGTTATAGGTAAGGTTTCCTTCTGATCACTCTTCTATGCAGATCATGACTGCGCTAAACATACCTGCAGGTCCTTTGCTGTCATATGGGGGTTTTGCTTTACCTTTCTGGCCAGCATACACTATTACCATTGTATTTTTTATTGTTTACATTAATCAAATATAAAGTAACTGTGCATTAACACGGGCAGAAAATAATTATTCTTTCAACATAGAAAATCAAACTAATATGACATGAAGCGTCAATTTTTTTAATTGTTTGACCTTTAAAAGATAGATATTATGTATCATAAATTGCAAAGTTATCATGTATTGCAATATTTCATTTTACAATATTCCCCCACCCTATGTATCAGACACTAAGAAGTACAAACCTCTTAGAGTAAGTGGTCCCTGTAGGCCCCTTTGAAGGGAAGACTCATGGGAGAAATGGGTGCTGTTAGCTCCCTACATAGACACCCTCCAGGGGCACTCGGGATCACAAGTGGGTTCTTGACAACAAAGGCCGTGAGCGGACAGATCATCTGAGCCTCTTGTGGGCTCACCCAAGATAATTTAAGCCGTCTCTCAGAGTTCAGGGACATGGACAGTCGGTATGGAGGAGAGAGAGTGACAGAGAGAGGAAGCAAGGGACTAAACGAACGATGAATGCGCTCACCTCGTTGATAAGGAATTGTAACTGGATGACGGCTGCTCCGCTCTCATGCTGACAGTAACATTCCACACCGGGTCGACCAAATCTGTGGGGGGTGAGTAAAGGAATAAACTATTTCAGGGTGTGAAAGGGGCATGAGAACCCCTGAGAGAGAGAGAGAGAGAGAGAGAGAGAGAGAGAGAGAGAGAGAGAGAGAGAGAGAGAGAGAAAGTGCGATCACAATAAGACAGTAATTCTCTGTAATAGAAGCATGTCAAAGTGGATAAGTGTGAAGCAGAAAGCATTTTCAGGCATTTGTCAGTCATCCTTTAGGACTACTGGACCACCCACCAGCTAATTACTGCAGCCAGTCTCTCTTTGGCTATTGGCAGCGAAACCCTCTCAGTGACAGTCAAGCTCCACTCCAGGGACTGAGACTAGAAATAGAAACAGCGTCCATCCTGTCCATGACACTGAGACTTGAACTGGTTCTTGTTCTTTGAGAAAGTTTTGTTCCATGCTGTAGGTTATATTTGAACATGAAAGAAAACTTGTACCCAAACAATTAGAATTGTGCAAACTGCATGCTTAAATCAACACACTTGGCTAAATCTCGAGTTCAGTAATCTCACAATGGACAGAAGTACAGACATAATTCAGCATTCACGATTGCCACTTTTACTGTTTCTAGCAACGCAACATACATTATTCTACGGATGTAAAGGGACTACTGGTTGAAACATCATCAAATCGTACTCATTGAACAGCTACAGAGTAAGGAAATGTTAGATGCTTATATTTGACCTACACTGCTGTGCATTTATTTAATTTCTTGTCCAAACAGCCATTAAGTACAAATTATGATTTTTCCAGGAGATATTTCTGAGAAGATTAGATAATATAATCCATTTTCATAAGGAAGGGGAAAGTCAAAGGGGGAAAAAGCTTCCAAAACTGGAAAAATTATAGACAGATATAGAGAATATATATCTGAACAATCATGCAAGACCTGGTAGACCACTAAAACCATCAGAGAAAATCAAGCTCCACGCTTGCTTGAGTTCTTAAAAATTACTAATGCTCTTACATTTCTCAAGAAGCTGAGAACCTACCGAGAAACAGAAATAGACAAAAAACAACAACATTTGTTAGTCAAACAAAGAAACTGCTGGTTTTCTTCAACTAGCCAACCCAGAGCCCACAGCATAATTTAATGTATGGGGGATTACTTGAAGCAGAAAATGCAACCAACTTCTGAGACTGAGCTTTGGAGCTGTGGAAAAAACATCCCTGCAGGTTTCTTTGAAAAACTGAAAGCAAGTCTCCTGACAAGAATGAAAGCTGTAATAAAGGTAAAGGGTGTCTACACTAAAATTAATATTATACTTAGTGTCAGAGGTGTCTGTGTAGGGTTTCCTGACAAGAATAACTTATATTTACTGTCCATTTGAAATAATTAAATAAATGCAGGATAGTCTCTGACTTTTGCACTGTACTATACGTTAAGGAGTAAGCTCAGAAAGTGCATAACCAAATGATCAACTTGTTCTGACAAACACAGTGGGAGCAAGCTGCCCCGAATCTTCCAGATTCACTGAACGAAACAGGACCAAATTACTGAATCTCTTGTTGAGTGTTAAATAAGACTGGGCCGTCTCCAGACCATGGTGTTCTGTAGCTCCCGTGAAGGGAATACTTAAGGTAACCACAGTTCATCATTACAGTTTAATTATTTCAGTCCATTTAGTAAGGAAGGAGATAAAAATGGAACCAGTTAATGGCTGACGGTCATCATCTTCCACAGAAATATAATCAACATGACTTATGGGACTCTAAACACAGAGAAGCAATAGAGATCGAGGTATATGTAAACACAGTTAAGCCCTACAAAGAACTGTAGCATGCATTTGAGGACATTCAATAACCAGCCTGAAAAGCTACAAAGAGCAGCATTTGTAATCATAGCGCAAATCATAATGAATTCTCATAATATATTGCAATGGCTGCAAAGTTTGTTTGCAGGCCCCTGACTATACTGCAGAAGCCCAGCGCTAATCTAATGATAAGCTCCCCTGGAGATCACTTAGCCACACACTCAGTATTTCCATATTTCCGTAGCAGTGGAGAGGAGCAAGGGAGAGAGAGCATGAGAGAGAGAGAGAGAGAGAGAGAGGAGGGGTCAGTGTGGAAAGCTAAAAAAGCAAAGTGGAAAGTAAATGGTTAGAAATGGTCAGCAAGAGAGAGAGAAGCAAAGAACAACAAAAAAGAGGTGAAGTATCTTGTCCTTATTCAGCCTATGTGAGTGAATACTGAGAGCTTGTGCTTCCAAGAGAGAGTTCAGACGTGGATGGAAAAGTGCTTGTCTGCAGTTTCTCAGGAGCAAAAGGGAAAGAGCAAAGGGCAGAAAGCATATCGGAGGGTGAAGTGACACCATTTCTCATGATTGGTGGGACTGAAGACGGAGAGAATCAAGTCAGGACGAAATCAGGCTTTCGTTCTACAGTGACCATAGAAAACGCACCAAAAACCAAACAGCACTGCATTTAAGATGTGACTACAGAGCACACACAGCTAACAGATATCCACACAGCCATCACAGACAAACACATATCCACTTCTCAGTTGATGGGTAATCCACTCATAATTTTCTACTGCATAAAAATGATTCAGATATCAGTACTGGATAAATGCAACTGCACCACAACTCTCCAAAACACCAGTTTACAATAGGATGTCCTTGAAGTTTAACCTTGAGCAAGCAGTCTCGCACAGTGGCGCATCCCATTCATACTCCAGCATTCTGGACAGGGGACATTACAGAAGAGGCGTGACCAGGCAGAGCTAAAATCTGAACACATTCTGAGGTTTCACACACCAGCACACACATGCATATACACTAATGTGAATGCATTAAACTACCTGATCCCCACTGTGTCATGGACAAACAAAACAGGGTCTACATGCCAATGTTGCACAAAGGGGGCTAACAAAAGCAAAAGCAGAAAAAGAGTAAAAAGAAAAAAATGTTCTTGTAAAAAGAAAATACTAAAAAAAATGCAAAAAGAAAATATGATTACATTTGAACTGGCCTATAACTCCATGTCCATACTTCTAATAAAAGAGCAATGTACTAATTATGATTTAAATCAATACTTAAAGAACAGCTCTGCTAACCCAAGCCACAAGTCACATGTGCTCAGATCTGAAGTCCAGCTTAGGGATGGACTGGTAAATGGACATCTCACACAATTACAGGACAAAAAAAAATACATTAACTGAATTTTTTGTAAGAGCACAATGACAGTAAAGGTATTCTACTCTATAATTTTACAATTCAGTGATACTATAATTATTGCATTCTATTCTAGGGAATAGAATACCATTCAGTGACAACATTTGTATTCTATGTTAGTCTTGTAGATTTCAGTGATAATATTGGTATTCTATTCTTTTCTAGAATTCAGTGACAACAGGGATGCATGAATATCGGCCCGATACCAGGCTCATTTTCTTGTACTCATAAAAAAAGCACTGATGCTAAAAATCCAATAGCACCTGAAGTTTCTCAGCGTGTTTGCTCAATACTCGGTGCACATCATGTTATTTTGAATGAAACAGTTTTATTGGAAATTGTCCACAGACAGAGTAATCTGTAGGGGCTGCGATTCACGTAGTATATCAGTCACATGGAGCATTTCCGTACAGTGTGAGCATATAAATCGTAGGCTTTGTCCTTACGTAAGTGCCTATTCAAATGTCAATATGAGTCAACAAATAACAATACTGTCTGACTTCAATATTCAACTACAGTTTAACCAGCCAATCAGAAGATTTCAACTCCACAAATGAGCTCCTTCGTTGCATTAACATTGGACATGAGCCCCGCTATCACTGTGTTACAGAGACTGTTGTTGAAGGAGACAGACGAGGAGCATGAGAACAAAACTATGAAATATACTTTACTTACTACTGTACAGAAGCCACTTATTTCCACTGCAACGCTACTCATAGCTAGCTAATGCACATAATTTAAAACCAGATTGATTTTAATGATTTAATTGTTAAGGTAAATGCACTCATTCACACTAACAACTGATTAATTCTAAGTATGTAATTCATTATGGTATCGGACTCGGTATCGAGTACTAAAAATAATGTACATAAATAATACACATAATGTACTTGTACTCTGTAAAATGGTATTGATGCATCCCTAAGTAATAAAATAAGTACTCTACTTTATTCTATCCTTGGAGAATTCAGTAACATGTAACAAGTATGTATTCTTTCCTGTTCTATAATTCTAAAATTGTATTTTATTCTTTTCTTGTGCAAATCAGTGATAATACAGGTATTCTCCCCACCTTATTCCTACGCCCCATGACGCTATGAGTGACTTGGACAGAATTTCTGATGAAGCGTAAACAGACAACAGGCATGTTCGACTTTACATGTACTGTGCATTCCGATTTGTTTTTCATGTCCATGTCACGACAATATACACCATAATAACCTCACAGGAGTGAACCAGCTGTAGCTGCTCACCACCCAAGCTGTGCATGCTGAGAGACGTCTTGATGACAACAAACTGTGTTGAATACAGTACACAGCCTATTAAAATGTGCAGTGATTGTGGTTATTTTCACATTAAAATTCAAAGTATATTCCTCAAAGAACTGTAATATCTGATATACAAACACCATGAGAGCTGGCGGCTCACATGGTGCGCTGCTGGTAAAACTGTTCAGCTCCTTCTCCAACTGCAACTGGCTACTCTCTCTGACTGCGAAAGCTCAGATCAGCTCATCTTCAATAAGCCCAATGTGTTAAATGCTAACAACATTCTAACATACAAACAAATTCAAATATATAATCATAATAATAAATAATAATAAATAATCTTATTCCTATAATCTCTATTGTTAGGATGCTTGAATGCTTTTGTGCTGATGTTTGCAATCAATTTATCAACAGAAACCTGATCGTGCGTGAGAGAAACCCTTTAGTCAGAAGATTATATTTATAGCCTACACAAGTAATGGTAACAAAGTCATTTTATTCCATATTTTAAATTTAAATTTTGTTTAAACTGCCAGATACAGACAT